TTTAGCTAATAAAGGTTACACACCTTTTGTCTAAATATGAGGAATGAGCGCCAACTTTATCCTCTTTTGCATGTGACATAATAGAAGCCTTCCTCATTTCCTTAAGCCACAGGTTATTAAGAGACAGCTGGTAGATCCTGCACTTAAAATATTCCAGGGTAAGGTGATAAGCCATATGCTGTATCAGGCTGAGAACTGGGGATGGGATGAGAAGGTTCTTGCTCAATTGGAAGTAGATCAAAATAAATTCATAAAGAAGATTTTTGGGAGTCCACCAGGGCACCCCTGCTTCTTATCAAAGGATGGAGATAGAGTTACCTTCCACTGCCGATGGGGTAAATCTTGCATTGTTGGGCCACTATAAGAAACTAGAAAACCTTCAAAAATGCCACCTTGCCAAAGTTTTTTTTCCATTGCACAGTTGGCAATCAATGGACTAAACTTTTTTTGCCTGTCCTACAAATGTATTCTCTACCACCTTTGTGGAACTTAATTCTTGAAACAAAGAAAATATTATGTACAGGGTTTTTGAAAGGGATGCCAGTAAAGTTACTATTGTGGTACAGACATCCACATTTTCATCTTGGTTCCATCATTATAAAAAACAACTTATTATAAAAAAAGAATCCTCTCCCAATATCTGGTTAATATTACTAGTGCCCCACTGAGAAAGGCTATTACTTCTCTTTGCTTGCAGGCCATGCCTTTAGCATATCTTGAAGGGAAATTTTGTAAGCATTCTGTTCAACAGCATTTGTCCTTGTGGTGTAGGTCAAGTGGAAGACATTATTCATTATGTTCCTCACTGCCCCATTTATGATGAAATCATGGCCAAATTATTTATGGTAGGTAAATTTAGGGGCTCAAACCTTGAACAACTGAGTTACCTTCTTGCATGTATGTTTCCAAATGTAAGTAGTCAAGTTGCTACTTATGCTTTGTTATTATTTAAACTTAGAAAAAAATATTTAAATTCTTAATCATAGCCCTGGCTTTATTTCATTTTCAACCTCTTTGCATCGAGCACTCTTTTTATTGCTATATTTTATTTTATTTTATTTTATTTTATTCCATTCCATTCCATTCCATTTTATTGTGCTTTATGCTGAGAAGTTTCAATGGATGCCTCAGTGTAGGGCTACCAGATCTGATCTTCAGAACAATGGCTGGCCACTAGATGACTTCAGTTAAATGCAATGAATTCATTGCTGCCACGGAGCGGCCCTCCAGATCTAGCAACTGTAATAATAAACAGTTCACAAATTTCTGAAAGAGGGAGGATGAGCAAGGAAGCAAGCATAGTGTAATATAATTCCAACATATAATCTGTCAAATATCATGACAGGAAGTTGTTGAAAGCCTTAGAGGACAAAATCAAAATCTTGGACGTGGCTTGGTAATCAATAGCAACTGCTACAGTTGCTTCAACACGGTATGAGGCATCCCGTTCAGTAACTTGGCTGACTCATTCTGCACCAAGGTCAGCTTCCAGGCCATGTGCATGGGCAGCCTCATGGGAAGTGCGTTACAGAATTTAAGCACGATGTATCAGGCAAGACTACAATATGCACAAAGATAGAAAAATTCTGAAATACCCACAATGGAGGAGGGGATTGTAAAGATTATGGAAAACGCAAAATTGACCTGTTTATCAGGGATATGACAACAAGTACTTTTATCAGAGACTGGAAACCTCTTATGGACTCTTTGCTGAAAATGGGGGGAAAAAATGAACTGGTGATTGACGGATTTACTGATTGAAGAGGGCTGAACATGGGAAGAAGAGAATTAGGATGTAATTTTAATGAAGGGGAAATGCTCCCACCTGCCCAGGAAACAAAACAAAGGTAAACTGATACAACAGAAGTCATATTTGAAGGCTAGAAAGGAATAGTAGGGAGCAATCTTATTAGCTTTCCTTCTAGTAAATGGGGGTTTTGTGACAGTGTCCATAACCTGATATTTCTGAATAATTTCTTAAGTTCCAAAAGGTTAGGTACTCTTGCTCTCTATGCAAGATGAGACTGGAGGAAAGGTGATTTCTTATTCCTAATTCTCCAAGATACAATTTAGAAGTTGGGAATGTGATATTTGAATATAGCTTCAAATAAAGCAAATAAGTAATGTAGCCAAGATTTAACAGTCAAGGGGTTTATTAAAGCCCAGTAACTTACCCTTGCTAAACTGGTGCCAGATGGGACTTTATAGGGAACATATTTCCTGTAGATGTGCCCAACTCTAGAACATGGAACATCAAACATGCCACCTCCACACATCCAGACCTGTGAAAGAAAGAAAGGTCCAAATTTCATCACAAGAATTAAGCAGCCAATGAGAATACAAGCAGTTAATATTCAAAGCCTTTGAGATTTATTCTGGTTATAATGATTTGTTTCTTTGAAAATGCAAAAACAATACTGTATGTAGCTCAAGTTGAACTAGACTCTACAAGTATATGATAAAGTATCTATTGAGTTGAGCATGACTTCTAATGACTTGTTAGATATATCCATGCAGTATTCCTGGCAACTGTACAAAAATGGTTTGCCAATGCCCTTGTTTAGCCTTTAATCTTCTGCTTCCTGGCTTACCATCTAAATACTAACCTGATCTGACTCTGCCTAGTTTCCAGGTCCAAACAAGATCAGCCTGGTGCTGTCTTCTGATTGACTATCTATCCATCTACTCACTTTTAAAAAAAAAAAAAATTCCTTCATAGATCATTACCTTCAAGTGCTAAGGGGTTTTGCACATCTCCATGCCATTGTTATTTTGGAGTTATAGTGGGGCAGTTTGTAAGGTAACCTACACCAGTATTCTGCCAAGAAAGTAAAACTGACCTTCATAATTAAGATAATGACAATATGACATGGGAAGATCAGCCCTTCACAAGAGCAGGGGTAAATACAAGTAGCACTGGTGCTTATGATATAGCTGAATTAAAGCTGAAAGAATGTCTAGCTGCTGACATGGCCAGAGGCAAAAGGAAAGTTTTATGCTACAAACCTGTTCCAAGCACCTGATGTCCATTTTCCATTATGTTGAGAGATTAATCTATCTTCTTCAGACTTTTTTTTTTTACACATAATACATTCTTCCTTCTTTCCCTCCCCATTTTCCTCAAGAAGCATCCTTGAAACTATGAAAAACATGATCTCTTATATATACATATATACATATACATGTATACACACATACCTACACACACACATATTTTCGTTACTTTGCCAAATATACATATGAATATACTCATGGCCATATCATCAAAACCAAAACTAACTGACCTTTTCCTAAGCAAACAGTAATCATTTCAGTCAGTCTTGGATCTACAAATGGCCCAATAATCTTTTCTATATTTTCTTGTTCCCACTGATTTATGTAATCTAACAGCATATTCTCCCCCAATCCCCCAAATCCCATTCATTCAGAATGTTGCACATATTTTCATTTTTTCCAAAAACTCATATCTGATTCTTCCATTATTACCACTTACAAGAGCATAACATGCATCTATTACCAAACTACGGATTTCTACATTCATATACGCTTATAACAACCAAGATGACAGCAAGTCATCCTTTCAAATATTTTAGCCCTTTCATTCATAATTAAACCTACCCTTGTTTGCTCTTCCATGTATTAATCCATTCCAAACAGACTACCTTCATTTAGATCTCATTTCTCTTAGATCATATGCACACAAAACGTCTACATATTTTGCCTTTCCTTGAATTAATTAGTTAATGCTTTTTATCATTTACATTCCATGTCACAAACTTCCCTATGCAAGGTTATCACCAGATAGGCTCCTAGAAATTAACATCAGCTGAGGTTTTCACATAACACTTTTTAGTAAGACAGAACATAGGTATATTTAATTGTACCAGCCCTAGTGATACCTCTGCCAGTTACAGATTCTAAAAGAGCCAATACTGACATGGTTCTAAGCAAATAATCTGATGCAAGACTGGCCTGTTACCAGAACAAAAGACAGGTGAAAACTGTCATTCCTGCACAAAACAGAGTAGCTTCAAGCCTCTTACATGCTGCAGGTGAAAGAAAGAGGCACAAGAATTTAAATCTTAATTTCACTGTAAATAGTTCTTGCATTTGATTCATAGTAGTCACTGGAATTATTTCATTAATGGCTTCATTAGCTTTTCTACAGTAAATCTACTTATCAAAGCTTTTGTGTCCTTGAAAATATATCCTTATAGCTTCTTGCCTAACTACTCAAGAGAAATCTGACACATTCCTTCCTTTCAGAAAGGATACTGATTCGTTTGGTGAATATTGGTCAGTATTCCACGACACAACCAAACTCCAGATTTTGTAGTGACAGGGGAAAGCAATGTTGTAAAGAACTTATTTTAAAAAGTTATGAATACAGTGTGCATGTGTATGAGTGTATATATGTCTATGTATTCTCCCAACATATCTAGATCTAAATCTAGATCCATCTACATATACATCTTGATTTTCTATCCTTATCAGTGAACAACCAGATGAAAGTGAAGAAGAACTAGAAATGCTGAGGTAAAAACAATTAGGAAAAAATAAGATTTGGAACTTATCTACTGAATATAAAACAGAAAACACAGAGTAACACACACCTAAGGGAATTTTTGTAGGTAACTGAAATGCATTGCAAACCAGTTTAAAAGACATTTTATAGCTATTCCTGTTGTTTATTACTTTCCAAATGACTGCAAACCATTTTTTCAAAGATCAAATATCCTTACAATGTGTTAATAATATTCTCTTAACTATTAAACAACAAAATTAAAGTGGAAAAACAAACTAATTTAATCTCTCCTTCCCACTCCCCACACATATACAGTCATAATGTAAATGGAATTACATTGTATGACACTTTGGACTTGAACTGCATAACAGATTTGGATGAACAAGATGTAAAATTCAAGCGATTATTTTTTATAGCAGTGAATCTGCAGTTAATACAAACAACGAAAGTATTTTCTTAATCCCAGAATAGAATAAAACATTTTCCATATGAACTGTAGATCTTTGCTAAAGGATATTAACCAGTTAATTATTAAAACGCAACAAATATGGTTTTCTTGAGGAGCACTGTACACAGGAGAGTTAAGAAAACCTTCAGAACTGCTTCTTTGGAATGCATGGGAATGCACATGAAGCATCTTGTTTCAGATTGTTAAGGTAGCTGCATCTTTTCCAGAAGCAGTTTCTGGCTGTGTCCACATGCATAACCGCTGGACCATCTTCCAAAGCAGCTGCAAGTTCTTGGAAAAAGATGTGGCAGCTTAAACAATCTGAAAAGATTACTTTGTTATATGTTCCCTGTATTCTAAAGTACCTCTTTTGAAGGATTTGCACAACCCTACTGTGTAGATTCCTCCAACTAATGAAGAGATATAAAGCACTTTGGTGCATGTGTAAGAAAATGTCTAGCAACCTTCTACTAGCTGATCTAGGCTCTCATTTATCATTGCAGAGACTAACATGCCAAATAATTATTAAAATATGTACTGCTTTTCTATCTCCCCAAAGTATGCATGGAGGAAAACTTACATACTTCCCTGAAGTTTATGAGCTCATTTTGAAGAGAAACTAAATTGTAAATCACAGTGGAGGATGCTGATGGAAAATTATTTCCACATATCACCATTATTATAGTTGGTATTAATTGGGTATTAATAAAGTCTAAAATAGCAGCCAGGTTAGCTAACAGGAAAAAAAAAAGAAAAGAAATACAGGAACAAGTTAAAACAAAATTAAAGTATAATGCCTTATAAAAGTGGTATGTGTCTGTGTGTATCTGATTATATATGACTGATTATATATATCCTGTGGGAGATATATGCTGTGAGATCTATTGTATATATCCTGTGGGATATCTATCTATCTATCTATCTATCTATCTATCTATCTATCTATCTATCTATCTATCTATCTATCTATCCTGTGGGATCAAAAGATCCTCTGGGACTTCCAGATCCAGATGGACATGTCCCGAAGAGCCAGCTCAATTGGAAGAACAAGATCCATGCCATCAACACATACACCCTGCCAGTCATCAGATACCCTGCCGGTATAGTGAGCTGGCCAAAGGACGAAATGGAGACTGCCAATGTGAAGACCGGGAATGTATGGAGGTTTCCACCCCATGTCCAAAACCCAAAGATTGTACACCAGTTGCAAGTAGGGTAGGCGGGGTCTGATGAGTGTCAAAGCCACTGTCCTGGATGAAACCTGGAACATCCAGGAGTACATCACTAAGTTGGCACCCAAACATGAGCTGCTGAGACAATGCCTGAGGCAGCAACAGACATGGGAGGAAGTTCAAGTGGAGGAAGTACCATGGCAAGACAAGACCCTGCATGGGATGTACCTTCGACAGATAGCTGAGGTGGCTGACATTGGGAAATCCTATCAGTGGCTGGAAAGGGCTGGACTAAAAGACAGCACTGAGGCACTGATCATAGCAGCACATGAACAAGCAATAGCACCAGAACCATAGAAACAAGGGTCTACCACACTAGACAGGACCCAAGGTGCAGACTGTGCAGAGAGGCCTCAGAGACAATCCAACATATAATGCCAGGGTGTAAGATGCAGGCAGGAACAGTATACACTGAACGGCACAACCAAGTAGCTGGCATTATGTACAGGAACCTCTGTACAGTGTATGGGCTAGACCCTCCCAAGTCCAGATGGGAGATTCCATAGATGGTTGTGGAGAATAACAGGGCTAAGATCTTGTGGGACTTCCAGATCCAGACAGACAGGCAGGTACTGGCCAATCAACCCGACATTGTGGGAGGAGACAAGGACCAGAAGACAGCAGTGGTGATAGATGTAGCAGTGCCAAGTGACAGCAACATCAGGTGAAGGAGTATGAGAAACTGGAGCAGCATCAGGGCCTAAAGGAAGACCTAGAGAGGATGTGGAAATAAAGGCCAAAGTTGTCTCAGTGGTGGTAGGAGCGCTTGGGGCTGTGACTCCTAAGCTAGGGGAGTGGCTCCAACAGATCCCAGGAACAACATCAGAGCTCTTTGTCCAGAAGAGTGCAGTGCTAGGGATAGCTAAGATACTGCACAGAAGCCTCAAACTCCCAGGCCTCTAGTAGAGGACCCAAGATTGAGGAAGACACATATCACTAATAGGAGTGAGAGGGGATTTTATACACACACACACACACACATCCATCCATCCATCCATCCATCCATCCATCCATCCATCCATCCA